TGGGGATGCAGCGAATATCAACCTAGTGGAAGATGCAACCGTCCAAGGAGAGGCTATGAAATAATGACTCTCCCTTTGACTTGCACCTTGCTCCTTTTACTTCTGGTCCCAGGGCATAGGTGGGAAAGCTTCTGGTTCGGTTACGTCTAAACAGGTTTTCTGGAAAAGCGCGTGGGTGCAATGCTGGGTTTAGGGGAAAGGTACACGTATTAATGCAGCGCAGCATCAGAGGGTTAAGGACACAAGGTTCTGGAGGAGCAAGTGAAGAAAGGTCACTGATGTTTCAGACCTTTGCAAAGGCAGTCTTCTGAGCAGGAAAGTGTTCTTGTTTTCTCTGCTCCCAAAATTGGCAAGCAAGCAAGCCAGGTGGGTTTGTTTTTCGGTTTTGGGTTTTGGGTTTTCTGTAAGTGTTAACAATGTGGCCAGACTTCATAAACTGCAGAGTGTTAACAATCTGGGATTGAATCTCAGTTTCTGCATTTTTAAGCCATATGGTTTTGAGTAAAGTCATCTTTCTAAGTCTCCTTTTCTTCATTTGCAAAATGAAAGAAACAGATCCTCCCTCTAGAGCTTTAAGAAGTATAGCATGGCTGACTCTGTGGTGAAACTAACACCAGACTTCCACCATCCAGACCCTTAGGATAATACACTTGTCCTGCCCTAGGACACTAACTGTGTGATCATTTGTCACAGAAGCATCAGGAAACTAATACAGATTTGTGTCAAAATACTCATCTCTCAAGTTTGTTAAAAATAAAAAATGCCTTTTTTCCTCCTGGTATCGACCATGAAGGGCTTCCCGTACTTCCTGTTGACACACGAAATGCCCAGTACCATGCTGAGGGCACTGACAACGCTGCTCGAAGGCAGCTCTCACTGCTAGTCTGCATTTTGAAAGACAGGAGTGGCTTTCTATTGGGTCATTGGAAAAGTCACAATGTGCTTTTGCATAGAAAAACATAGAAAAATACATTATGACTTTTCCAATGACCCAATAGGTTATGATGTGCCATCCATGCCAAAGGCCTAAAAGAAAAGGAGACAGCGCATAGTGATAAAGGAAGGAAAAAAAAAAATTTTTTTTTTTAGGCTTTTGCCATTAGGGCATATGTGTTCACTAGAGAGAGAGAGAAGGAAAGTGAGAAATCACCCCCCGAGGAAATGGCCACGCTGCAATCCCTTCTTCTCCATCCTCCTCTCAAGATTTTGGGCACATACACACGCACCCAGCATGATTTTCAAGCCACTGGATCTGGGACTCAAATTATGTGGGAGCCCAGTGCCTTAACCACCATCCCACCTGATGCCTACCCCTAAAAAGAAAATTCTAGTGGCAGCAACTTCAGAATATTTTCTCCATAGGGTTGGTTGGTCCCATAGCTTTATGGTTGGGGGAGCTGGATCTCACATGGTCACCACAAATCAAGTCCTGGCCCAGTGGCTTCGGAGACAGGCCAGGTACATGTGCACACCGTGCATGCCCAGGACGGAAAAAGAGAGAAGGGATTGTGGTATGACCACAATCCGGTTGGGAGTTCTTTCTTTTTGCATCTCTTTCTAGTAAGCGCACATGCTTTTTAGCAATGAAAAGCAAAACAGTATCAGTGTACGCCTGCCTTCCATAAAGCAACCCACAGCTTGACCACCTCCCTGACACTCCAGACCCCATTCCTGTCCCTGTCCAGGTTTCTTCAAGTCAGGCTTTTCTTTTTGCTCAAAGCAGGCTTCCTATCTGCCTCCTTCCTTCTTCTCTCTCCCTCTTGCCTGCATTTTCTACCCTAATTCTTACTTTTGTTATTCTTCCATCAAGTATTCATCTGCCCTTTTGCCCTCTTTTTAAAACTCTATGGAAAACTATGTATTTTATAAGATATCATTGAATCACTGGGGCCAAAACCCTGTTCAGGGTCCCCTCTGCTTCATTCTGAATTACTAAATCTCCTACTCAATCCCTTCCTAGTACATACGGTTCTAGTACATACAGTCATTTTTTTTTCTCCTTTTCCTCCTTTATCCTATTGTATAGTCATTTTTGCTCTGAATCCATGTTGCCATAGTCACACTTTCAGCTCCTTGAAAAAAGGAATTGTCTATGTTTTCTAGGTTCCCTCCCCTCCCCCGGAGGGTGTGCACTAGTAGGAGAGAGACAGTGGGAGGGCAAGTGAGAAGCTACCTCCCCCAGGGGTGATGGATACTCCACAACCCATTCTCCTCCACTCTCCTCCTGGGATTTTGGGCATGCACACATGTGCTGGTTGTCTCTTAATCCCAGCTCATCAGCCCAAATGGGCACATCATCAGTCAGTGCTGGTCAGTAATGTGCTGAATTTGGCCTCTTTTTTTTTTTGGAGATGTTTTTGCTATGGAGTGTGTGCGCTCATCAGAGAGACAGAGAGACAGAGAGACAGAAAGCAAGAAATCACCCCCCAGGGAAGATGGCCACACTGCAATCCCTTCTCCTCCATTCTCCATGCAGGATCTTGGGCACACGCGTCCAGTGTGAGTTCCAGCCACTGGGTCCGGGACTCGAACCACAATGGACTACGTGTCCAGCGATATATCCATTATACCAACTGTTGGTCCCATACCTCTCCAGATTTTTTCCCTTTACCCTCCCTACTTCTGTTATCAGAACTTCTGCCTTTGACATTCTATTTATCTGCCTCTAGTTTAGATAGTAACCTGACTGGTCATTGAGAATGTGTATACATGCCAGCAATGAACTTTGCAATGTGGCCAATCCAGCTATATGAGTAATGTTCCCCCTTGGGGGAGTTTGTGTATTAACTCCTTCGAGGCACCAGGCTCTACTCATCCTCATAGCAACAGACACTGCAAAGCAAGAATGGCATTGCTAAACAGAAAGAAGCAGATGGCATTTCTAAGCAGAAAGTACACTAAGCAGGTCCTTTTACAGCAAGGAAGCTTGTGACATGATCCAGACGCTTTCTTTCCTCCAGCAAACACTGAAGGAGAGTGCTCACCATGTGCCAAATTCTGAGCTGAAAACACTCGTAAACTAAACTCCCACAGCTACCCAGGTAAACAGGTGAGGGCAACTATTCAGAGAGGTTTAAGATAAAGTGGAAGTTTGGTGATATTTACATCATAGTGTACGGTGAGGTTCAACGTTAGCAAGGCCTGAGTCAAGTCCAAGGCTTGCCTCCCTGATCCTCTGACAAACTGGAACCTCGGTCATACTGGCTGCTTTGCTGTCTTGCGGGCTGCGCGCTCTTCTGTGTCTCTACTCCCTAACTCTTTCCCTGGAATGTTGCCCACCCCGACTCGCACCTACTCTGTTTATAAAAACCACGCACATCTTGCAAGGCGTACACCTTCCCTCCTTGGAACTCCCACAGCGTTGAGCGTTTTGCCACATGTACTATAACTATCTGAGATCATGTCCTTGCTTCCATACCAAGCACAAAATCCTAAAACGTAACAATCTCGAAACCAGCACATGGTTACATCACTGGACACCCACGTATTGACCATGGTTCAAGTCCAGGACCCGGCAGCTTAAAACTCACGCTGGGTGCATATGCGTGCATGCCCAAAACCCTAATAGGAGAATGGAGGAAAAGGGATTGAGGCATGGTCATCCCCCTGGGGGAGGTGATTTTTTGCTTTCTCTCTCTGGTGAGCACATGTGCCCTATAGCAAAAATCTTTCTCTCAAAAAAAAATATATGTATGTATGTGTATATATATGTATGTATGTATGTGTATATATATATATAAACAATCTCCTTTACATTTCTTTGTATGCCTCAAAACACAAACTGTATTGTTTAATATGTTTTGATTTGCAGCATGAACACACGAATTGATTAATTACTTTAATTAGTAAAATATTGGGAGATGTAGACGGCTTTTCTCAAGATGTTTCAAGTGCAGAAGCCAAAGTGGCTGACATGGCAAGAGACCCACATTCGTCTGTGTCAGGGATTAAGATTTGTAAACAGTTTCTGGGAGCCAGTGTGGGCTGCGAAGGGAGCTTGGGCTCTGAGGGCCAACTCTGCCGTGGTTGTATGACCCTCAGGAAGTAAGTTGACTCATTTACGTTTTCGCTTCCTGATCTGCCGAGTGGAACTTCCTCACTACTTTTCTTTTTGGGTTATGAAAATTAGATATGTGAGTGTAGTAGGAACTGAATGTCGGCCCCTCTTTTCTCTCCACATTCCCTCCTTCATGACAGAATACTTCTACATTTTTTTATGTTTAAATTAAAAAAAATAATTTTTTTAATTGCCACATGGCACATGTACTTGCCAGAGAGAGACAAGCAGAGAGAAAGAGAGAAGGAAAAAGCAACCCCTAGTGGGATGTGGTCACGCCACAATCATTTCTCCTCTATTTTTCCATCCCATCAGGATTTTAGACACGCATGCATGTATACACAGCATATATGTCAAGCCACTGGGTCTGGGATTTGAACAGCATTAGACCATGTGGGATCCAGCTCCTTCGACTGGATCATTGGACTAGTCCAACAGGTACTTTATTTGACAATTTTTTTTGGAAACCACAAAGTATTCAGAAAGTCATTTTGAACAGCCTCCCATGGTCTGTATGGGAACCAACCTCTAACTCTGGCTCAGCCTTTGGGTTTCAGTTGGCCCCGACCAATGGCAGTAAGGGGTCCTCAGTGTTTCGGCCCGCCCAGTTACCATCACCTCAGGTCTGCCCTATGCCCTCTTTGACCTTGTGGAGCTGCAGTTCATCACTCGGAAGCATGCATTCTGTGCACCCCATACCTTAACGAACTCCCAGAAGGCACCGCTCAGACTCTGGGAGACTAAACTGTGTCTTTACGATAACTGTGATTACTGAGCTCAGTGGTCAGATTTCCTCAATTACCAAAAAATTAAATGACTTTGGTTTGGATATTTTGGGACACAAGAAGGCAAAACGCAGTGGCATGATGTACTCGTGTGATGGAAACTGCAGTGTTTGTCACCTGCTCCTATTAAATTGCAATATTCTCAACCGTGTCTTCAGCTGGTGTGAAATCCTGAAGATGGCCAAAGATGACTCCGCTGTGCATTGTTTCCAGGGCCTGCTGATTTTTGGAAATGTGATTATTGGTGTAAGTAAATAAGTGCTTTGGGGGAAGTTCTGTTCTTTCTATAATCATGATTTTAGATTAATCAGAAATTAAGAATTGAAAGGGAATTAATGATAGAATTACTGGCTCCCTATACTTTCTCTTTATTTTAAGAACTATGTTAGTATATATGCCAGCTAGAAGTTAATGATGTAAATAAGCATATATGGGGGGGTCTCCAAAAAGTTCATGGAAAATACATATTATGAAAAATTGTGTACGAGTTTTTAATTGTCTTTTTGCACCAAAATAAACTTGGACTTTAATTCCATTTTTCCATGAACTTTTGGAAGCCCCTTTCTATAACTACATAATACATCAAAAGACCATGATTTAAACAAATTTAAAAAATAAAAAGGTGAGACTTGTTAACCTCAGAACTTTGAAACTTAAGACTCTAGAAAGATTTAGGTCAGCCACGGTCAGTGTCCAACACGTTTATAACAAGTACACATCGGTGTTTCGTTCCCTTTCACTTGGCTGGTTTACAGGGGACTGTTACTAAGGTTGTCGAGGGCATCTGTCTGCATCTTCTTTTCCTCATACTCCTGCCAGGACATGAGAATGGTTCGGCAGTCAGCTGGCGTGGGCACACGGTGGGAGAGTACTCATTTGAGAGTCAAGAGAGCTGGCTCCCTGTGAGACTCTGGACAAGTCATGAGCTTTCAGAACTGAGATTCCTCGTCTCTAACATCTGAGCACTGGGAAAGAGAACCACCAAGGGCCCTTCACTGTCACTGATGAATATGAGCAGGAACACTTCATAGATTACGACCCCAGAATTTGGGCCATAAGCCAATGGAGATGGGGTTGGGTGAGATTTTCTTCATCCTTGAAGTCATCGTCTGAGTGGTTTGTGACCCAAGAACTTTATGGATCATCTGAAGTTGTCTGGGGCTTCTCTCAAATAGCAGAAAGACAGAGTGACACATGAAGAAGGCATACGACCAGTTAGCAGGGTGGGGGTACCTGTCTGATTTCCTGGCAATGAGAGCTGAAGTCAGTGGCATGAATCCTATTCAGGGGAGGGAGTCAATCTCTCTTACCCACACCATCCCTCAGCCCCCTTTCCCAAAGCTGCTCCTGGTCACCGGCCTGACAGAATCCACCCTTGGTTTGTCCCCAGATGTGTGGCATCGCCCTGACGGCAGAGTGCATCTTCTTTGTATCCGATCAACACAGCCTCTACCCGCTGCTGGAAGCCACAGATAATGATGACATCTATGGGGCTGCCTGGATCGGCATGTTTGTCGGCATCTGCCTCTTCTGCCTGTCAGTTCTCGGCATTGTAGGCATTATGAAGTCCAACAGGAAAATCCTTCTGGCGGTAAGGTCCTAACACTCTCCACAGTGTTTCCCTGGATCTGTTTCTAGAGTTGTTTCTTATTCAATGAGCATACTCACTGCTTTGGCTTTCAGTGGGGTGGGTGGGACAAAGAAAGCCAGCGAGGGAGAAGGAGGAAGACTCTCCCTCCTGTGAAGATTGCTCATGCCAGAGTGAGATTGTCCTCCACTATTACAAGCTCAGAGTACAATATAGAGGACTCAAAGGAGAGAGACCTAGGGTGACCCTATTGAGTATTTTCCAGATCTGTGCTTCTCCAACTGGTATCTTCAATAGGTACAGGCAGAACTACAAAGGCCAAAGAAGAGACAGAGAACTTCTTTATTAGAATTTTTTCTTGGGACCAGCAGATGGCATAATAGTTACATCACTGGACTCCCATGTAGTCAACCACAGTTCAAGGCCCAGACCCGGCAGCTTAAAACACACCAAGCACAAAAACTCACACCAAGCACATGTGCACACATACCCAAAATCCCAAGAGGAAATGGAAGAGAAGGGACTTCAGCATGGCCATTCCCCTTGGGGGGTGATTTTTCATTTTTGTCTCTCTGTCTCTCTCTATCTCTATGGCAAGCACATGTACCCTATAGCAAAAATCTCTCTTAAAAATAAAAAAGGATTTTTTTTCTTTTGACAACCAATAATTTATAATACTATTTTAATATTCATCAGCCATCAATATATTAAGATATGTAAAATATGCATGAATTTTTAAGAGAAAACATATACCTTTTTTAACATTTTTAAAAAATAATTTGCTAGGGAGCATGTGTGTTTCCCAAAGACAGGCAGAAAGAGAGAAAATGAGAAAGCACTCCTTATGGTGTGTGGTCATTACACAACCCCTTTTTCTCCATTTTCTTTTGAGACTGGGCACACACACACGTGTGCTCGGCATATTTTCTAAACCATCAAATCTGGGACTTGAACCATGCACTTGGCCACATGGGATCCAGCTGCCTTAAGGACCGTACCACCAGCTGGTCTTCGAACAGTTTTGAGGTAAAGGCTGATGATTTTCTAGTGGCCTGTACTTCCCCCATTATCATTTGCTCTGCTTTTCAGGGACCCTAGAAAACTTTATAGAGCTACCATCAGCTCTAACTCTGTGCACCCACAGAGAGGCTTCTGCCCCAAACTACAGACACCAAGATGCACATGGGAGCAAATTTGCAGCCAGCAGAGCTGAGGAACCTCTGTGTTCTACTCCCCCCACTCCCAGCACACCTGAAATAACTCTCATACCCAAATGCTACAGTACCTGAGTTTCACCTTTATAGAACAAGTCCAGCAACTTAAGGTTTACTCTTCTGTTGAGTTAACCTTTGTCTCTGTACCCAGGGAATGCAGAACAGTTACATTCTCTAGTTCCTTGGTATGAGTTAGTTCCAGGACAATAGTACCTATTTTTGGAGGGGGGAAAAAAGAGAGGGAAAAAAAAAAGAAAAGAAAAGAAAAGAAAAGAAAAGAAAAGAAATGCAGAGAAAGGAAGAAGAGAAGCAGTGCCCTGAAGTCAACTTTCCAGCACCCCAGCCCCACTGTGGCCAGCCCTGTGTGTGCCTGACACAGCCAGGAGAACGGGGGGAGGGGAAGAGAAGGAGTAGAACACCCTCCAGGGGCTGAAGGAGAGAACACCCACTACCTCCCTTCTGGTGTGTCTCTAATGGATGCTGAAGAGCCAGCAAGCTCTTGACAAGGGGCGAGAGGTCAGCTATTATAGGGGAAAGCATTCTAATCCCCCTGAAAGTGTTCCTGCTGTTGACTCTGCAGCCAAAGCTTTTTTCTGGACCTCCTTCTCCCAAAGAGGGAGAACAGTTTTCCTTGTCCTCCTGAGTCATTGACAAAAGTGCCCCTTCTAAGAAGGACACAGGGACTAGCAGTTAGCGTAATGGCTATGTCGCTGGACTCCCATGTAGTCGACCGCGGTTTGCGTCCTGGACCTGGTGGCTTAAAACTCATGCTGGGTGCATTTGCGTGCGTGCCCAAGATCCCAAGAGGAAAATGGAGGAGAAGGGATTGCGGCGTGGCCATCCCCTCTGGGGGGCGATTTCTCGCTTTCTGTCTCTCTGTCTCTCTCTGTCTGTCTGGCGAGTGCACGCGCCCTATAGCAAAAACCTCTAAAAAAAAAAAAGAAAAAAGAAGAAGAAAAGGACACAGGGACCTAAAGTTCATTTGCAAGACTGAAGAAGGCAAAGAGAGAACAACTCTTGCCAACGGTCATGTCTCAGATTCACAAGACATGTTCAACCATTTTCTAGCCAAAAGTAGGGGCAATGTCATATGGAGGCATGGCGTGTGCACACACCCCTATGCCTGCATCACACACAACACCGCCACTACACGCAGAGAGCCCTGTTTCCTTCATGGAGCTGATGTAACGGGAGCAGGCATGTGTGTGAGAGGAGAATGCCCGGGAATCACTGCATACCTCGTGGCTGCCTGCACCTTTCTGATGAGGCTGGAGGCTTGTTAGGAGGGAGGCTGGAAGTTAAACATGATCCAGCTCATCTTTTCCTGACTTCTGTGGTTCTAAATTTTCACAAACCATAAAGAAAACGTCTCCCAATTAGAGGGGATGGTTTCGGAAGCTGCACACTGTGAGCAGAACACCAAGGCTCTCCTGCCGCCCACTGGAGCCTACACGTGCATGGGCACACACACACACCCATTCGTTGTCATGGATTTCTTCTTCCCAGTTAAAATAGAAATTCAGGATACCAAATTGTACTCAATGGCCATGCGTTCTCTGGAGAAGAGCAGAGTTGGGCTGACCAGCACCAAGCCTTGTTCTTAGCACCAAGCCCCGTACCAACAGCTGATCAAAGAGGGTTTGTTAGGAAATTGCATGAACGATAGGATGATCGTATTTAGGTAAATGTGCTGAAAAATCAGAACAATAATTTAGGAAGTCTCTCTTGGAGGGTAAGTGTAACTCTTTCTTCTCATTTGTTTTCCTCCCAGTACTTCATTCTGATGTTTATAGTGTACGGCTTTGAAGTGGCATCTTGTATCACAGCAGCAACGCAACGAGACTTTGTGAGTACAATCTCAAAAAACTCAGGGCAAAATGATCATATGAATCATTATCATAATAATATAATAGCTGATATGCACTGAACCTTTACTATGTGCCAAGCACTCCAGTAAGTACATTAATACATACATAATTGTACTGGATCCTCAGAAGCCTGTGAAATAGGCATTGTCACTTACTGTTATTTTATAAATAAATTTTTTAAATGTAACATAACTTGTCTAAAGTCACACGGCTAGCAAGTGGCAGGGCAGGAAGTGGAGCGCAGGCAGCCTGACTCCCAGCCCAGGCTCCTGAACCCTGTGCTCTGCCCCACTGCCACTGCCACAGCCACCGACTTTCCAAGAGAGATCCACAGCCCAGCACATAGAAGACTCACTCTCAGCTCAGCATCTTTCTCTCTCGTCTTTTCCACTTCCCTTGCCTAGGCCACCTTGTCATGTCTGTCCACTTGGTCTCTTTCTTTGAAGATGGGGGGGCTTCTCCCTAGATAGGACCTTCAGCCAACTCAGCATTGTCTCAACCGACCTGCGTCTCTGAGCGCAGTTGTGCTCCAGGAGAGAATGCTCCATTTCCCCAGCAACAGGCTGAGAAGAGTATTTCCCCCTCGGGGATTAGTATGCTAACTCTCTCTCTGATGTCGCCTCTCTCCACCGTAGTTCACACCCAACCTCTTCCTGAAGCAGATGTTGGAGAGGTACCAAAACAACAGCCCTCCAAACAATGATGACCAATGGAAAAACAATGGGGTCACCAAAACCTGGGACAGGCTCATGCTCCAGGTAGGACCTGTGGTCGTGGGAAGGTGCCATTTTGTATCCAAACCAGTAATCCAGGAGTGTGTGGTTGGAGATGAAGTAAATATGCAAGGACCACAGCCTCCAAGAGAGTTTCCTTCTAGAAGAGACTTGTTATAGGCAAGGTCACTTATTCCTCTTATTGACTGGTGACAAAAGGTAAGTAGGGGTGGGTAGGGTGGTGTACATATTACTCAGTGGGAACCCCAGATCTATATTTTATTTCAAGCTGTGATTTTCATTAGCTTACATTTATAGGGATAATAGCATTGTCATGAAATTTAGATCAATCACATATTTTGTGTCTTGGAGCTCAGGTGTCATGTTAAAAGAAAATCGTCTTCTCCACCCACAGTGAACTCAAGTGACAAATACTCCCTGCTCTGCCTTTTGGTGCCTTTTCACACCACTTACAAGTGAGTCCTGCTAGCAGGGACTATGACTTCATCTGATTGCCCAATTTGGCCAAATGGCAGTTATCAATACTATCCAAGTTAATCTCAAGAACTATGGAAAGGTGAAGTCTTCTGAAATAGGCATCGTTATCCTATGAATCTGAATTGTTACCCCTTTACATAATACTTAATCTGGCCGAGCTCTCCCAATGGCCGCTGCTAACCCTCCATGCCCCATCACTGACATTTTGCCATCGGTCATCTGCAGATTCGCTATAGCCTCCACCCCTTCTTTGAACTCTCTTTGCCCTCTTGCCTCATCAGACACTTGGTAAACACGTTCTCTGTGTCCCCATACCCCAAGTACCAGAGGGCCTGGAAATTGGTTAGGTATCCTCTTTGCTTCCCTTGGCTGCCAAACTATATCCTCCCTTTGTTCTTCCTTATTATCCTTATTTATCAGACTCCTACTTTCCTCAGGGATTTCAGTATCTCACTCCTCTCTACCTCTTCACATATACTCCTGTCATCCTACCTAGAGACGTCAACAGCCACGTGGATGACTCAGCCAACATCGGTATCTCCATTTTCTGTCCTACTTCATTCCACAAGCTTGGCCCCCCACCTCAGCCTTCCTATTCCATGGCCATAACCAGCTGGTCACCACCAATAACTGTGCTTCCTAAGGAAATTCCACCCTCTGACCACTATCGCCTGCTATTTCTTTCATTTATTTTAATATCCCCATTCTAATACATTTTTAAAGAATTTTTATTTATTTAATTATTTAATTAGTTTTTATTTATGTAATTATTTATTCAATTTTATTTATTCATTCATTCATTTTAATTTAACCAGAGAGAGACAGAGACAGACAGAGAAAGAGAGAGAGAGAGAGAGAAGGAAACTGAGAAAGCAAGCCACCAATTCTAGGACTTGAACTGTGGTAGGCCATGTGGGAGTATCCAGTGCCTTACCCACCACACCACCCACCACCTGCTGGTCCCTCTAATACATCTTATTTCATTCAGGACTCCAGTTAATTGTCTACTTTTTTACTATGTATCTTTTTTTTTTTTTTTAGAGGTTTTTGCTATAGGGCATGTGCGCTTGCCAGACAGAGAAAGACAAAGCGATAGAAAGTGAGAAGTCACTCCCCAGGGGGGATGGCCATGCCACAATCCCTTCTCCTCCATTCTCTTCTCGGGATCTTGGGCATGCACACACGCGCCCGGTGTGAGTTTTAAGCCACCGGGTCCGAGACGCGAACCGCAGTTGACTACGTGGGAGTCCAGCGACATAGCTATTATGCTAAATGCTGGTCCCTGTATTTTTTTTTTAATGTCCTCTCCTCATCTAACAAATATTTCAGGTTCAGCCCCGTCATCACTATCACTTCAGCCTCCCTTGCTTGCCTCCCTGTCCCTGCTTCTCACTCTTCCAAAACAATCCCCACCCCCACTCTAGTTGAACACAACTTTCTGCCCACTCCTCATCTACTCCTAAGAGCTAAACTTTGCTGGGGACAGTTACACAACCATGAAAACTAACTTCAGTTCAAATTTATGACCACAAATCTCAAAAAGACACATAGTGTTTCCTTCATATTTTCCCAGAAAATTCATTTGGCACTCTCTCTCATGTTCTTTCTTCATATACAACCTCCCTCCTCACCCTCACTTTGAACTGACCTGACCTCTGTGGGGAATATAAAAGTAATCAAACTTAACCATCTCACCTTTCACCAAATCTGCCCCTCTGCACTTATCTGCACTTGTGTGCCTTGCCCTGTCTTGTTATGACACATAGGCCATCCTTTGTCCAACACCTTTGCTTCTGCTCTGCATTCTCTCCCCCTGTTCAACAACACTCCTTGCTCTAACTGCCTCATCAATTTCTCCCTCACGTCAGTCCACGAGAACACCTTAAACTGTCCATTTGCTCACTCTCTTGCCCAGTATTTCCCACTGTTCTGTTTCACTTGTCTTATTTTGCAGCAAATCTCAAAAGATATATACCCAGACTTGCTGTCTCCATTTCACACCTCTCTGCTTCCATTCAACTATGATTGGCCTCTGATCCCACCACTCTCCTAAAATGAGTCTTATCACAGTGAGCAATTACCTCCATCCTGCCAATTCAAGGGTCAAGCTTCCATCCTAACCTTACTTGACATCACCAGCATTTGTCACATTGGCCATTCCCTCACACACTCTTCCTCCGAACTCTGAAAAAATGGAGTGATCCAAAGCACAATTCTGGACCCTTTGCTTTTTTCTCTGTCCCTTCTTAAGTTTTAGCTTAAAATAAGCTAGGCTTGAACTTAGCCGTTTTCCCTAGAATGCCCAGGTCAAAATACAGAACAGTTATTTATTTTTCCTAGTTAGATATTTCTCAAAATGCAGTAGCAAGATCAGACATCTGTCAATGACTGTTGATGTATCCATCAAGTTTGGTTGGATATGTTTATTCTAAAAGCTGAGTTTTAACTTTCTCCCTGGAAATGTTTCAGCAGACTTTATAAAAAGTGAGGAAAATGGTGAGTTTTATCCTCTGTTCACGATTCTATCCAGAATGGGAGGATATGGGTTACTCATTCATTGATCATCCTTTCCTATATGGAGGCACAGCTATGTGTTTTGGTTATTATTTTTTCCAGTTTATTTTCTCCTATTAAAAATATATAACTACTCTGGAAAAATATTTAAAATATAGATAAGGGGGCCAGCACTTGGTGTAATGGCTATGTCACTGGACTCCCATGTGTAGACCGCAGTTTGAGTCCCGGACCCAGTGGCTTAAACTCATGCCAGGCGTGTGTGTGTGTGTGTGTGTGTGTGTGTGCGTGCATGCCCAAGATCCCGAGAGGAGAATGGAGGAGAAGGGATTGTGGCATGGCCACCCCCCCTGGGGGGTGATTTCTTGCCTTCTGTCTCTCTTTCTGGCGAGTGAACATGCATTCAAAAACTTTTCCAAAAAAAATTTTTTTAAGAAAGAGTGCACGTGCATGAAAAAACTTCTCCAAAAAAAATTTTTTTTAAGAAAATACAGATGAGTAAAACAAGAATTACTCATATTTCTTCACCACGAAAAATTACAATTTTCTCATTCTGAATTTGCTCACATGTGATATTAGAATAATCATACCTCTCTTAATTGTTGTAAAATGATATTAGTATTAATAGTAATTAGCACTTAAGGGCTTCCTATCAACAAGACATTGTACTAGACTCATTTAGTCTTCATAGCAATTCTATGAAGTAGGTACAGTATTTATCACAACTTATAGTGAAGGAATGATATTAAGTACCATATCAACAGCTACAGAGCTCATTAATGGCTAGAAAAGTAAAAAAAAAAAAAAAAGCAAAAATATTTTGCAAGCTCTAAAATGTAAGTTCTCAATACCTCTAGGTGTGTTGAGGGATTTTTTAGTAAACGTATGATATGCACAGTTTCTGTATCTTCTTTCTCTATAATCAGTTGCCATAATGATGGCTGTAGTAAAGACCATGAATGATAATTCTGTATCTCTCATCCACTGACAGGACAATTGCTGTGGTGTAAATGGCCCATCAGACTGGCAGAAATATACATCTGCCTTCCGGATTGAGAATAACGATGCCGACTACCCGTGGCCTCGTCAGTGCTGCGTTATGAACAATCTTAAAGAACCTCTCAACCTGGAGGCTTGCAAACTAGGAGTGCCTGGCTATTACCACAATCAGGTGAGTCTTCTCACCTCCCAAAACCTGCCAAAAGGTTCTGCTGCTCCTTACAAGGAAACCTATGGCCGTCTGTGGGTAATATCTCTCGGTAAGGATTCCTATCTTATTTTTCCTAAATTTCACATTAACTATTTCCTTCTCTGTCAGTAAACTGGGGATGCTAAATTAGAACTGATATGTGCCAATTTACATTTTAACAAAATTAGAACATGAGAATTGCAATAGCAATATCCAATTTCATTTAAATGAAAACAACTTGTACAATGTATAGAACTGGTATTTGGAGACACATTTACATTCAACAAAGATTTGCATGGTTTTTGCAGAATGTAAATTGGAAATGATGGCATGCAACAAGAATGTTTTACCAGTTCCAAAGCAATGGCAATTGCTCAGGGAAAATGCGGTGGTTCCATATCCACCCGTATTGAGGGTAATGTAGGGTATTCTTAATAAAATATTAGGTTGGTGATTTGGGTAGAAAGCAGTTCACATGATGGTTTTTGAAAAAGCATTTCTAGGCCAGCAAGGACAATGTGATTATGATCATGAAAACTAACATTTATTGAGTACTTATTAAATGCTAGACACTGTTCCAAGTGCTATTCATATTCAAACTCTTAACACCCAAAAGTAGATGCCAGTATGATCCCTATTTTACAGATGAGAAGCTGAGTTATAGAGATACTGATGAGTACGTTGCCAGAGGTCACACTAGTCAATCGTAGTCCGGATTCAAACCCAAGCTTTCTGGCTCCAAAGCACAGACTCTGTGCCTAGAAAGACTTGGTCGTAGCCCAAAAAGCCCTGATGAGACGGTCCATCTGCTGGCACTGTCCTCTGAAACGCTGAGCACTATTTTGAGTTCTACCCCTATGGAGATAGCTACTTGCATGCCAGGTCATTAGATAATTGAAAAACGTCAGGCCCTTTAGTTTGGGAGAAAATAATACAAAGAGCACCTTCTCAATGAAGGGCAGTGCATTACTAATCCTCAGACCACACTTGGCAGGGTGCCTGGACTGGAACAGGATGTATTAATCCAGAAAAGGACATGGGAACCAGACAGATTATATTTGCAACCGTGTTTAAAGCAATTCTTATTTAGCTTTATAGCAACAATGTTCCAGAATTGTTTTAAACAGTTATATTCAGACTGCTATGAAAACTAAATTTGTGGTTTATCATCATAATACACAATATGATTGTAACTCTCAGGATTAATAAAATAGTTCCAATATTTTGACATCAAAACTGGCTGGTACAAACAGATTCTGATTGTGTTGTTATTGTCTGCAAACTGTATCACCTCTTGGAAAGGGGCAGAAAAGGAAATTTGCCTTTGGATGATCACTTCATAGCAACACTTGTTTTCCCTAGCACATATAACATCTTAGGAGAATAAATCTAAAACTGCTTACTTTTCTCAAGTTTAAATAGATGATATTTGAGGAAAAGATACAAGTGAACTCTTTCTCTTCTGGGTATCTTGCGACCTCCCCGTTCATTGCCACATTCATTTTGACCACTCTTCTTCTAACACCCTCGCTTACAGTTCGTCCACCTTGTCTTAGTCTCTGCCTTCACTACCGACCAGCTTCACCACAGCTACACCCTCATCATCCCTCTGCCCTACTCCACCAAATTCTTGAGTTCTCAACTTCCTCCCTCTGTGCCTGGCTTCCTGTGCTCCTAGGTCTTCACTCTCACTCATTTTCCACCCTCAACATAATCTGTTCTCTATTCATCCTTTCTGATTTTCCCTATCCCAGTTGCCCAGACTTCTAAACAGCACCATTCTCTTTGACTTGGGGGTCCTCTCATTCCTCTCTGGCAGCCCTTTTCCATGACTGAAACGTGCCAGCCCAATGTCTAGTATATGTCCATTGCTGCATTCACCACCTTCAACTATATTGTAGCAAATCTGTTCACAAGCCGATTTTTCGATGACTCTCCTTGAAGACTCTGTAGTAGTCAATCCTGAAACTTCAGCACTCAGCATAATGCCTCGCACAAAACAGGCAATAAATGTTTAGTGAGTGGGTGAATGAGGAAGAAATCGCTTTCCTTTTCATATTCGTATTGTAGTTTTTGAGATCTACAGTGCACAAACGTACTGCCATACCCATGGACACTAAGGAAATTAGGGAAGTCCTTGTAAGTGCGACAATAGTAGAAAGAAATCAGAATTCCACATAGCGTAGCAGATGCAAATATACATAGATAGATAGATAGATAGATAGATAGATAGATAGATAGATAGATAGATAGATTCTGCATTATGGTGTATCTGCCTCAGTAATGCTATCTGCAATTTCTGACCACTACACCGTAAGAACATTATGATGGAGCTAAAGAGGCAACGAAAACTTTACTATCAACACGATGATTAGTATCATGGAAAGGCACTAAATGTGGAGAGGTGAGAAAACTGGGGCTTTTATCTGTGAACTCTATGAAGGTAAGACCCCTTTCTGTCTACTCACAGCTACCTGGCACTTGGCATAAGTAGACTCATATATATTACTAGATGAATGACTACCTCCCAGAATTTTCAGGAGGGTGGAAGTGTTTTGTGAACGAAGTAGATTGCAAAAGATACTGCTATATCATTACTTACCACTTCCATTTACTCTATAACATTTATTAGGTGCCTACTCTATGCCAGGCCCTTGTCCTAGGTTCTAGAGACTAAACAATGAACAAGATAAAAGCCTTCCCTCATGGAGCTTACATTCCACCATGAAAGAGATGATAAGCGTGTTAGCAAATGAACACCTGGGAACATTCCAGGTAGTAATGAATGCCACAGGCAGAGAAAAGGCAAAATAGTCAGTATGATGGGGTGGGGTGCATCTTGCAGAGTTCTAAATTAAGTGAGGAATGAGACACTGGAAGGCTGGGGAGGAGAGCTCAGAAACAAAGTAAGCAGCAAGTGCAAAGGCCCTGAAGTGGCAGTGTTCTTGGCTTTGTGAAGGAACAGCAAGGAGGTCAGTATGACAAGCCCAGAGTGAGTGAAGGATGAATAGAAGCAAAGACAGATCTACATTTGAGTAGACTCAGGCTCGAGGAAGACCAGTTAGGAGGCTATTATAGAAATCTCACAGTGAGACCCTGGTAGATCAAACTAGAAAGTAATACCTGTTTAGATTTGGGATATATGTTTTAAATACAGATTTGCTTGATTATGGGATGTTGGATAAAAGGAAAACAGTTAAGCATAATTCTATTTTTCATTTGAGCATTTTTTTTTAGAGAAAGAGAGATTTTTGCTATAGGACACATGCACTCGCTAGAGAGAGACAGAGAGACAGAAAAACAGAAAGCAAAAAACCACCACCACCCCCACCA